TATATATATATATATATATATATATATATATATATATATATATATATATATATGACAAAAATGACAAGTGTTTCATGTAGTCTACTTGCTGGACTCCTGTAGTTTTTGTCAAAACAAACATGAAGTCAGTGGAAAATATCTCCAACATCCAACAAAAGAATAAAGTGAAATAGGAACCTTCTGTCTTAAAACAATATCACACTATCAAAATTTACAAATGAAGCAAAAACAAAACAAATAGTTTCATCAATCAAGCAAGTGGATTAATAATTTTCAAATTATTCATTACCAAAATCTCCTTTCAAAACTTCACGATCAAACGAAATATGTGTGCAAATCAGGTTCGACCCTCAATATCTGGAAGGAACCTTACACGACGTGTTGCTGATGCCTAACTTTTTATCTCCTTTTAAAACTTACCATCATGTGTAGTAGCAGTCTTTTTGAATACTTCTTCATTTTTGTATTCTACCAATACGGAGCAAATATTCCCTTCTTAGATACCAACTTCATCAACAATAACTAAGACTAATACAAACTCTACCTTGAATGTCTGACACAGATGTTGGCTATAACTGTGTCTTGAAACTTGACCACGATTAGAAAATTGAACAACAAAATGTAGATTATTAGCTTATAAAAAGCTGAAAATGGAATGAGGGAACTTAATGGTGAACAAATAAAAGTAAATAATAGGGAAACAAGTAAATAACAGAGGAAGAAATACTAACTTAAACTCCGAAAGAGCAACAACAAACACTTCAGTTGTAGAAGTGCCTAGTATATATATGCACGCCAGCACATCTAATTTTTTTACAACTATACCCACATTATCAGGAAGGCAAACATTAGGAGAACAGAGGCCTAAGCTCAAATATTTACAACTAATATTTTTTTTATTAACAATTTAGCCGTTTCATTCACATCTCACATCAAGTTCTGTCTCAATTAAAGCAAAAACAGAATCGAGTAGTCTGCATAAATATACAATCACTTTAATACTTGAAACCAACTATATGAAGCATTCTCGTAATCATTTAAATCAGTATTTTTGACTGATAAAATAATAAGCTTCAAAGGCAAGTTATTTCTTGGGATTTATGGTCATGAGCTCATCAACTATAATTACATAGGTTAATATTTAGGAACCTTTGACACCCAATAAAGTGTTGCCTATTGCCGTTTCTTGTCTCTCTAAATTGAAAATTCCGGTAAATTATGGCTTAAAATAGATGTAGTTAGTGTGCGATTTACAGATAATTAGTCTAAAATGAGCAGATTAATGAACATTCGGATTGATTTTTTAAATATTTAACAGATTTTAGCTCTTTCAGGCACATCCATAGTGGGAAAAAAAATCATAAAAACTTACTATTATTCTTGGAGACTGAATACTCAATCTTGGAGAGGAGAGAGGCAGAAAGAGTGAATCCAAAATCAAAGTGAGAATATGTTTTACAGTGAAGATAGATACGTGGCTGAACAACAATAGGTAAAGGTGGCAGATTAGAATAAAGACAGATAATAACCTTATATAAGTTAAAGTCTAAATTGCCCTCAATTAACATTGTATTGGCACTAAGCGGCCATGTTGAAATGTTGAAAATTGTCTCTACTATTAAGAGAAATATAGAAATGTGAACTCAAGGAAGACCAATGGCAAAAGTGATATTAAATCAAGGGAAAAAGGATAAATATATCCCGAACTTTCGTAAATGATATCTAAATACCCCTCATTATATTTTTAGAACGCTTCCTACCGTATAATTTTTAGAGCGTGTATACCCTTTGGACTAATAGAGGGACACGTGTCACGATCTTAACAATCTATCAAAACTTTATTTAATTTTTATTTCCAATTAAATAATCCGACCCGGATAATTAAAAACCCACCCAAATAATTTAAGACCTACCCAAATAAATCCCATTTTCCCATTCTTGTCTAGTTCCAACAACCATACACCCCAAGAACCTCGAGACAGGTGGGCAAGGGGATGGGGGGGCCTCGGGCTGCGGCGCCTCAAGGTCGGAAGGC